CCCGTTACCCCATCTACAGCAATTGATGCAGCACCTCCAGCAATGTCTGTCCTGCGGTGTAACCACCTTGCTGCCCACCGATGCAGAAACTTCCCGGGAAAGGAGGGGAACAGCACCAAGGCTTTTCACACAAAAGGCTTCAGTGGAGAGGTGTGTATTGAGGTGTACAGGACGGCACCAGCTGCACCGTCTTCTACAGGCTGAAGTGTAGACAGATGGATAAGCGAGGTGCCAGCAAGGATGAAGATGCTGAGAGCTGAAAGAAGGATTTCATACTGAAGGGGATTAGCCAGGAAATAAAGTATCATCGAGATGTTTTAGAGGAAAACAGCTGAATGGGCCAAACAAGCTCAATAAAAAAAAAAAAAATAGAAAAAAGATTTTAAAAAAAAAAGAAAAAAGAAAAAAAATGGAAAATATATATAAAAAAGGATTAAAAAAAAAAAGATTTTGCCAAAGAAGCAATAATTTATTCAAGGGGCGTTAATAATTATTTAAGGTGATAGCAAAAGATACACAAAATGAGACATTAAAGTGACATTAAATTCAAAAATAATCAAGATGCTTTGCGGCCGCCCGAGCATTTTCGGACGGGAGCGCGCGGGGAAGACACAGGTGAGTTTAAATTGCTTTTAAGGCAGGTTTGTTTTTTCTCTTACACTTTTTGCATATATCTACTGCTTGCTAACCATAGATAAAAGCAAAAAAAAACAAAAAACGGAGGGTTTAATAACCCTTTAATAGATGGGATTCCGTGGTGAGAGCACACAGTTCTCTGACAACCCTGAGGATGCACGGCATCAACTGCCAACTTTCGGCATATGGGAGATGTAGAAAGGCAACAAATGGGCTGAGTCATGTTTGTCATCAACTGCTTGCTTTTCCTTTTAGCCTTTTATCTGCTGTAACTTTACCTTCCAATTGAAATGCTTTCTATGTATTACTGGAATGCAGTCTCACTACACTAATGAATATGCTGGTCTTTTTTTTTACACTAAGGGGCTTTATCCAGTACCAGTGGCGTTATCCGGGCTGGCTGGCTGGATCAGGCAGACGCGCCCTCCAATCAGGCACTGTAGAGGGCCGCCCGCAGTGGCCTCGGAAGAGCGAGCGGCCGCCCGATGACAGAGCCGGGTGATCGTGTCAGGGAGAGGGAGCAATGGCTTCGTTTAGCGGGGGTCGTGACGGCGCCCCCCCTCAGTCCTGCGCCCGGGGCAAGTGACCCCCCCGCACCCCCGGTTGTTACGCCACTGTCCAGTACATAGGTATTCTCTTTGGCTCCATCTAGCAGCAGTAATGCCTGTGAACGGTATAGCTGGGTGATACTGTTATACATGAGCCCCTATGTGCAGAGCCATAACTACAGATCACAAAGGCCCTATAGAAAAAAATTCAATGCACCCCCCCCTAGGGTTGCCACCCGTCCGGGAATCACCCGGACAGTACGGGTTTTGAACCCTGTTGGTAGGCAGCCTGGCTTCCTAACCAATCAGGAAGCCAGGTGGTACCTCATGACTCGCGACCTGGCTTCCTGATTGGTCAGGAAGCCCTGGGGCCCCTGTAAAGACCTCCCTTGGAGCTGTGAGTAATGACACCAAGGTCCCACAGACTTCTCTCGTGCATCTGAAGTCATCTCTACTCTGTAGACAGGGGATTAGGGTTGTAGTCAACTGCAACCACACTAATGATACATACTGTATTATGTTCACATGTTCTATGTTTAATTTGCGTCATCAGCCTAACGGGGTCCCCCTTCCACCCCCAGGCCCCATAGCAGCCGCCAGGGCTGCTATGGCTATAGATTAGGTCTGTGCGGGCAGCCCGTAGGAGAGTCGGACCTCGGCTCTCACACACAGAGCAGAGGCCCGGCTCTCCAGCGCTCCAAATTTCCCCAATCACTGCTTCAATCAACAGTGCTGCTCAGGGAGTTGAGTGGTGTTACTTAGGGCAGTGCTTGGGGTTGGACAGGGTGTTCTCAGAATGCTTGAAAGCCAAGCCGCTGCTTTGTGTGTGCGAGCAGCAGACTGATTCTCAGACGGGTGGCCAGCACTGAGTATTTTAACCCCTGCTGTCTCTGGGAGTCATGCCTGTAACTGTCAGTCTTGCAATGCCTCATGGGACTTGTAGTTTCACAGCAGCTGGAGGCTAGAGATGCCCACTATGCTCTAGAGGCTGGTAGGTTTCGGCCAGATGTGTTCGGAAATGCATCAAAAAGCGCAAGTTTTAACGTGCATTGCCATGTGCCTTTGCATTGAAGGTCAGCATGCTCCATAATATGTGACAACGCACTTAAAAGCAACTTAGCGCTTCTTCGCACATTGACGAGCATTGTTACCCATGTTGACGCATTTTTAAACCCGTTGCACTGCACGTTGACATGCGCTTCTATCGATTTCATAGGAAGATGCTTCTTGCAACAATGCAATGTGGTTCCAGCCTGCCGTTTTCCCAATAAGTGACCCTTGTAATCACTCTAATGGGTTACATGAATGGGTCACATGATCTCTTGCCATGTATCAAGTGTCAGGGGACCTGTCATCAACCGGCCAGTTGTAACAGGTCACATGACCATCAATCCTCAGCTGCCACTTGGAGTTCGGAACCTTAAAAACCACCCAATGAATCCCAATGAAAATGAAGCCAGCCAATTCACAATTTTTTAGAACTAGAAGAATCAATACTTATGTTTAAACATGGAATGATAACCCGCATATTCAACTCACCCAGTACTGTGCATGTACAGGTTCAGTTCAGTTCGGCTGGGCGCAGGGGGGGAACGCCAACATTCATACTGTGGAAGAGACGGGAGAGGCTTCTTAATATTATTAATGGTCGGGGGAAATGTGATTGACAGTCATTGGGTTTCAGGCTTCTTCTGTTATCAATACAAATCATTATGAAGGTTCCTAAAGTGAACTTGTACTTTGCCATACAGGGCAAAAAGACAGGTTCTCTTCATGGGAGACCCATTCAGGACAAAGTGACAAGTTCTGGATAACCTGCCCCCTACCCCCTCCCTTGCTGATAGTTACCCTTCCCCATTGCCCCATTCCCTGCCCTCTTTGGCCACCAAAGCCTTGATCATGAAGCCTTGAGTAAGCTCTGTGTTGGAGCTTACACAGGGAAAAGGACAACCCCCTTGGTTCCACGTAATCGGGACCAGCAATTGGTTGCTCAGGCACCATGCACTGCAACATAGGAGGAAGTGGAAATGGTCACATGCTCCCTTATATCCAAAATGCAGGGAATCAGGAAGGGCTTCAGTAGCAAGGAAGCAAAGGTAAGTATCAGCAGGAGGTGAATATCTTTTTAAATGAATCTGTCACCTGAGACAGACCAGCACTGTCAGTACTAGGAGCATGGACAGGTTATGGCTGAGAAGGGGTTAACAGGCCAGCACTGTCAGTACTAGGTGCGTGCACAGCTTTGCACCCCTAGTTCTAAAATCAAATGTAGACAATGCACCGTGCCTGAGAAGGTTAATCCACAGGTTATGGTTGGGAAGGGGTTACGTGTACTGTACTCATCTCCCCTTTGTGGCAGTTGTCTATTTCAAGGTGTGTGTGGCAGGGATGGTGATTTGCCAGAGAAGCCATAATGGTGCCGCACACTCACCTGGACCTCTGAATTCAGCTCTAGTGGATGGATGGAGCCATAGGCAGCACTTTAGCCGGTTCTAGAAAAAAAGAATAAAACAAGAGTGAAGTTTGAAGGTGATCACAGGAAGCTCTACAGAAACGTGAGATACAAACAAATCAGAACTTTTTGAACAAAACTTAGCACAGGGGAAGGACAGAGCCGTGGCAATCTATGATGAACCTACAAACATGGATGACCATCAGCTATAGGGAACATTAGATGGCCTCAAAAACCTCGTATTAACATTATAAGCCGTGTGGAATTTGTGTGTGCCAAAACTTTATTTTTTAGAGTTCTATAGAGTAGGAAAAGATTTAACCAGGCCGGGGCTTTTCTTTTCTGTGTGTGATTCATGGGGGGGAATTCCCTTTACTTCCTGTCCCGGAGACATTAAGGAATTAGAGGAAACATATTTTCCAATGTGAGATCATTCCCCGCTTTCTTCTGCGTCTCCAATAGGGACACACAACCGATAGAAATCTGGCACAGGTTTCAACAGTCTTCCCTCCTTCCTCCCTTCCTTCCCCTCATCCTTTCTTCCCTTCTTCCTTCCTATCTTTCTTCCCTTCTCTCTGCCTTCTTATTTACCTTCCCTCATCACTCCCATCCTTCTTTCCTTCCCTCCTCCTTCTCTTCCATCCTTCTTTGCTTTCCTCTTCTTTCCCTTCATCCTTCCTTCCTTCTTATCTTCCTTTCTTCCTTCCCTTCTTCTTGTCTTTCTTCACTCCTTCCTATCTTTCTTCCCTCCCTCCCTTATTTCCTTCCATCTTCCCTTCTCTCTGTCCCTTATTACCTCCTATCTTCCTTGCTTCCCTCCATCCTTTCTTCCCTCCCTTCTTCCTTCCCACCTTTCTTTTCCCCCTGAATCATTGTAACAATTACAGACAATAACTGATATTTATTTATTTATTAAACTAACAACCAATCAGAATCCATCTCTGTCACAGGATTGAAAATAAACACCAACACCTTGTGAATTTTTCATTCCATCCCTCCATCCTTCCTTCTCTCATTTCCTTCTTACTTCCTATCTTACCTTCTGCCCTTCCTCCTTCCCTATTTCTTTTTTTCCTGCCCTCCCTACTTTCCTTCTTCCTATCTTCCCTCCCTCCTTTTCTTTCTATCTTCTGTCCTTCCTGCTCTCCCTCCTTTCCCTCCCATTTCCTTCCTGCCCACCCACCTTTCCTTCTTCCCTCCTATCTTCCACCCTTCCTTCCCTCCTTTCCCTCTTCCTTCCTATCTTCCTCTCTTCCTTCCCAGCTTTCTTTTCCTCCTGAATCATTGTAACAAATACAGACAATAACTGATGTTTATTGATGAGAACAAAAACCAATCAGAATCCATCTCTGTCATAGGTTTAAAAATAAATCCCAACACCTTGTAAATAAATATCAATGTTGTTATCAGCCCCTTTCAGTGTTTTTGTTTTCCAAATCAGACTCGTGCTTCCTCCGGGGGCCGCACAGAGTGGAATTCTTAGATGGCAAATTATTCCGCTTCCATCCTGGGAATAATACGGAGACCATCGTGTCAGGACCGAAGAGACATTAGACCCCTACACCACCACCAGGGTCGTAGCCTGACTTCCCCCTCCGACTACACATCCTCAACCCCTGGCCCTGTCTGCTGCGGACAGGATGGGCATTTCATTCTTCATTGGACATAACTAGTTCTTGAAGCTATTTTAATTGACTTATAAAACATTCATAAAACATCCATCGTGTCTTAGCATCCGGTCATAACCAGTCAAAACTGCTATTTATATAGCAAAGATTATTCAAATTTTCTACTGATTAGAAGATCACTGGAAGGCAGTGGACGTCCACTCAGAGCACAATATCAATGGTCCTTGTGATATCTCAGCAATGATTCTTATGGGGCCAGAGAGATAGATGACAGATGGATAGAGTAGACAGACAGACAGACAGACAGACAGATAGATAGATAGATAGATAGATAGATAGATAGATAGATAGATAGATAGATAGATAGGTTATTTGCAGGTAACTATAATTTGAGTTCTGATTATATTTTGTACGTTATTATGTATCGGTTAACTCTAAACTTTAGAAGTATTCTTATCACTGCATTGCGGCTCACATACGGATCTATAACGTTTCAGGCACAGAGAGTGTGATAAAAGCAAGAGAAACATCACCATGTCTGTGTACCCGTGTTTGTGTGCCCATGTCTGTGTGCTCATGTCTGTGTGCTCATGTCTGTGTGTTCATGTCTGTGTGCCCATGTCTGTGTGTTCATGTCTGTGTGCCCATGTCTGTGTGCTCATGTCTGTGTGCTCATGTCTGGGTGTCCATGCCTGTGTACCCATGTCTGGGTGCTCATGGCTGTGGGCTCATGTCTGTGTACCCATGTCTAGGTGCTCATGGCTGTGTGCCCATGTATGTGTGTCCATGTCTCTGTGCTCATGTCTGTGTACCCATGTCTGGGTGCTCATGTCTGTGTTCAAATGTCTGGGTGCTCATGTCTGTGTACCCATGTCTAGGTGCTCAAGGCTGTGTGACCATGTATGTGTGTCCATGTCTCTGTGCTCATGTCTGGGTGCTCATGTCTGTGTGTTCATGTATGTGTGCTAATGTTTGTGTGCCCATGTATGTGTGTCCATGTCTGTGTGCTCATGTCTGTGTGCCCATGTCTGGTCGCTCATGTTTGAGTGCTCATGTCTGTGTGCTAATGTCTGTGTTCCCATGTCATCGTGCCCTGCCAATCACATGCTTTTCTATTGGAAGACACCACCTGACTGCTTGGTATGGGTGATGCAGACACTTTAGGGTCTGTTAGGCCCTTTGTGGGCGCATTGGGCCGGTTGAGGCGTCACCATTCCAATTAGCCCCACTTGTGCTGACGATACAGAATCTCCATTTTCCAGCCCAAAATCAAAGTACGACTCCCGCAGGCAATCACCGGCGACAGAGGCTGTGTGAACTCCTCTCGGCTGCCTGATTATGCAAAACTAAATAGACCTAAATAGACCCCAGCCTTCTGCAAATTATGTACCCTCTTCTGCGAATTATGATGAAGCCTGTAATTTCATCGCAATGAGGAGGTTATTAATCCTCATCCTTGCGGACAATGATGGGAGAAACCGAGGAGGTTTCATAATCGGATCCATTTAAAATCAAATAAGAGACAGGGAAAAAAAGCCACCGCTCTCACTGAAGGGACGCACACAGGTCTCGTGGAAGGGAGGGGCGTGGACGCAATCACAGGGCCACTCGTGACCCCCAAAAAAAACCTGACTTATCCCAAAAAAATAGTATTTGCCAGGACCATGCGGGGAAGACACCGGTTTTGGTTACAGGAAGACGCCGTCTTAGAGCGGCCGTAAGAATCATTTTGTCTGGATGCCGAACAAATACCCAAATGGGTACTTCATGCCCAGTCAGTCTAATTTGCCGCGTCTTGCAGTATCGTGTTAAATAACTCAACCCCCTAATTATGACAGCATGCTACCTGGGTTATGGGTCTCAAATCACTCACTACACTTCCCAATCAGCGCTGGAATAAATCCACACTTAAACGCCCCGTCCGCACCAGGGGCCCCCGGTACACTTCAGCCATGGCTTAAATGACCTTCGGGTACCGGATCTGAAGGTTGGGGGGGGGTCAGGGGACTAAAAAGTCTCAGCGTGACCGGCTGGGCCAGTTCACCCAAATTACAGAACATGTTAAAATACTATTCAAAGAGAACCAGTCACTCAATTTACATATAAGCTGCATAGTTTGCCATAAATGGGTCTCCTTATAGAAACAATTACTGTACAAATGGTTTTTAGTTTGTTCAAAAGTCAAAAATAACACCCTTCACATGAGGGTACCCTACACATTACCCTACACATTAATATGTGCAAAAAATAAAATGTAAGCTTTATACATTGTGCAAAAAGTCCCTAAAAGTAATGTGCGAATATTGGTTAATTCACACAGACAGGGTGCATGTACTGTTTCGCTGGGTGAATAGCTATGAGATGTGTATATATATATATACAAAACCAAAGTATTTTTTTAAATGTTTGGCATCATGTGTCACGTTATACAAACTTCTTAAAGGCTATTTCCACCTTAAATACCATTTTCCACCCATATTTAAGGTGGGACATAGCCCCTAACCTGTCCCCCACATACCTGAATCCCAGTGTGCTTCTGCCCATAGGCTCCTGTATTTTTTATATTTTTAAATCGCCATGACACGTCATTCCTTCACAGATCCATTCACAAGGTCTGTGAATGAAAATGTTACAAGTCCCATTTGCCGCGACGGCAGAGGGACTCATAGATCTCAATGGAGCCGTGATGTCAATACACTTGTAATTCATTGATAAGTTCCTCTAGCTCCATAAGGGAAGGTCTTTACCTCCGTACAGACCTGGACCTGGGGGAATAGTCTACAGGAGCCTGGGCATTTCATCCACCAATCACGGTTGCAATGCTTTGCAAAAAATGAATACATTTGCTTTTTTCTTTTTGCAATTTTTTTTGCATTATGCCTTTAAGTAAATACTTGTTTTATGGGTGGTTTAGGCTGACAACGCTAAGCCGCTGCCTTGTAGTGGTGTTTTTGTGATGGTGCTGCCATGTGCGACCCTTCTGTTGGCTGTTCGGCTACCTATCAGGTGTATCAAATAGGCAGCCCAACAGCCATCTAAAGAAGCTTAAAGGAGAACTATGAGGTGGGTGCTTTTCACTCACCTCAGAGTTCTAGCCGACCTGTGACAATGAGACTGTCACAGGTCGGCTCAGTAGAGGTGAGCGAACACATACCGGGTTCGCTCACCTCTCGATCCTGTCACGGCTCTCTGCCGTGACAGGGGGAGGGGCTGGATTCCCCCCTCCCCGCTCCGATCTGCCAGCGCTGACTGGCGGAACGGACGGTGGAGAGGGCGGGTACAGCTGGCTCTGCCTCTAGATAGGCAGAGCCAGCTGTCACTCATGCAGCTGGGCGGATCCCGTCGTCTAAGTCGGGATCCGCTCCGGCTGCGGCGTCTCAGTATGCCGCGAGCTGTAGCTCCCTATATACTG